CCCCCCCCCGGCCCCCACCTCCCCGGGCACCCGGTGGAGGGAGCACCCACAGCCGGCCGAACCCCATGCCTGCCCCGAACCCCCTGTTCCCAGCCCCCTCGAACAGCCACACTCCCTCCAGCACCTCACCATAAGGGAGATACCCCGCCCCGAAAGCAGCTGGGGGTCTCCAAGGCCTGGGCAGGCTGAGCTGTGAGACCAGGCTGGGATGGGGGACGTGAAGGTGCCTCATGCTGCAATACTGAGCTGTGTCCGTGCAAGGCTGTGAGCACCCACATGGGCCCTTTTGTCCCTTACCCCACTCGTGGGACCCCTTCCCCGTGCGTGCCCTCCGACACACGCACCGTCCTTCCCAGGCGCTGCCCCCAGGTCCATCCCCCACACACAGCTCCTGCCTGCCCCGCTGCCCGGGGCCCCCCCAGGCCCCGCATGCTGCGTCCCCGACACACTGCAGCCCCTACACGCGCCTCCATGTGTACACTACATCCTCCACGTTGCCACACTCGATGCACACGCCACGCCTCCCACCTGCTGTCCCCCCTATACAGAGCTCTATGCACACTGCGTTCCTTCTGCGCCCTGTCGATGCACACGCCGCGTCCCCTTCACGCTGCGTCGCCTGCAAACCCCCCAGTGCACACACTGCGTCCCCGTTCACGCCGTTGATGCCCACGCTGCACCACCTGTGTGCACCCTCGGTGCAAACACTGCAGGCCCTACGCGTGGCAGCCCCTGTAAACCGTAGCCCCTGTACGCTGCGTCCCCTATACTGCACCCCCCACCCACTGCAGACCCCGCGTCCCCTTCACGCTGCGTCGCCTGCAAACCCCCCAGTGCACACACTGCGTCCCCGTTCACGCCGTTGATGCCCACGCTGCACCACCTGTGTGCACCCTCGGTGCAAACACTGCAGGCCCTACGCGTGGCAGCCCCTGTAAACCGTAGCCCCTGTACGCTGCGTCCCCTATACTGCACCCCCCACCCACTGCAGACCCCCCTACGCAGCCCACCTGGGCTGCCTTGACTTGCTTCCCCTGCCCTGAGACACCCCAAGGGTCCTGGGTGTCCCCTGGCCACCCCGGGGTGGTGACATCTCAGCCCCCCGGGTCCTTAATTTGGGAGGGGTCACTCGAGGGGGAGCAGATACTGGGGATACTGGTGGGACTGCTGGAGGGGGGGGAGATTATTGGGGTGGGGCTGGGGTTGGGGATTAATATCAGCATGGGTCTTGTGCACTGGGAGGAGGTTTTTGGTGGGGACAGGGCAGGGAGGCCCAGCAGTGGCCTCCCCACCAAAGACCGCCCGGACACTGGGGTCACCGGGGTCCACCGCTGGGGATCGAATATGCGGAGGGCACTCCGAACTACCTCGCTGGGGCCGGGCGGCCGCCTCCTCCACCCGCTTGCACCCCTGGGTGCCAAA